GTGAGTGAGTGAGCGTGTGAGTGAGTGAGCGTGTGAGTGAGTGAGCGTGCGAGTGAGTGAGTGAGCGTGTGCGCGTGTGAGTGAGTGTGTGCGTGTGCGCGTGTGTGTGTGTGAGTGAGTGAGCGTGTGAGTGAGTGAGTGTGTGCGCGTGCGAGTGAGTGAGTGTGTGCGCGTGCGAGTGAGTGAGTGTGTGCGCGTGCGAGTGAGTGAGTGTGTGCGCGTGCGAGTGAGTGAGTGTGTGCGCGTGCGAGTGAGTGAGTGAGTGAGTGTGTGTGCGTGCGAGTGAGTGTGTGTGTGCGAGTGAGTGAGTGAGTGAGTGAGTGTGTGCGCGTGCGAGTGAGTGAGTGAGTGAGTGTGTGTGTGCGCGTGCGAGTGAGTGTGTGAGTGTGTGTGTGCGAGTGAGTGTGTGAGTGTGTGTGTGCGCGTGCGAGTGAGTGTGTGAGTGAGTGAGTGTGTGTGTTCGCGTGCGAGTGAGTGAGAGAGTGTGTGTGTGTGGTGTTGAGTTAAGGTGAGTTGTGTCTGTGCTGCAGACGTCGGTGCAGGTTCCCTCTCCAGCTGCAGGAGTCATCGAGGAGCTGCTGGTTCCTGACGGAGGCAAAGTGGAAGGAGGAACTCCTCTGTTCAAACTCAAGAAAGGAGGTCAGCCATGTTTCTTTTTGCTAATATATATACCGAAGTGTTCTGGACTAAATGCATCTTATATTGTAATCATTACGATCATAAGCTGAATTCACTTCCTAACATGTTCATTGTGCGTGTTTAACTGATTACATGAGGTTTACTAACCATTATATTACTGCCATATGGATGATGCTTTAACTCTGACCAATAACAGAATTGTTATGTGAAGCTGCTTTGAAATGTGAAAAGCGCTATGTAAATAAACTTGAATTGAATCGAATTAAAGTTAAGGAAACTTTACTTGTAAACAACTAAACTAACTTTTGAACTCTTTATTAACATGTAATACTGTAATTTAATATTTTTATGATGGACTAAGATCACAGTTTAAGATTGTAAGTATGGGAGTATTATACTAATTAAACACAGTTGAAGTCAAAAGTTTGCATACACCTTGCAGAATCTTGTTAGCTGAATGATCCACAGCTGTGTTTTTGTGTTTAGTGATAGTTGTTCATGAGTCCCTTGTTTGTCCTGAACAGTTAAACTGCTGCTGTTCTTCAGAAAAAACCCCAGCTCCCACTAATTCTTTGGGTTTCCAGCATTTCTGTGTATTTGAACCCTTTCCAGCAATGACTGTATGATTCTGAGATCCATGTTTTCACACCGAGGACAACTGAGGGACTCGTATGCAGCTATTACAGAAGCTTCAGACGCTCGCTGATGCTCCAGAAGGAGAAACCATGCATTAAGAGCCGGGGGTTTATTAATTCAACTAATATTTTCTCTTGTGGACTATATGTAAACATCTTGTATGTGAAATATCGTATTCAGGTCAGTACTAAATAAACAATAACATGCATTTTGTGTGATCCCTCTTATTTTGGTAAAATAATTAACATTTTGCAGATTCTGAAAGGGGGATGTAAACTTTTGACTTCAACTGTATAAAACAAAATTTTAGTTTTATTAAAGCTATTAGCTGTAGAAGACCCCCCATTTAAAATATCCGTCTTCATAATAACCATAACCAGAAATAAAGTGTCTGGGCTTTCCGTGCTAGGAAGTGGTTATTATTATAAATGAGTGCTGCTGTGCTGCGGTGGTTTCATCTCTGACTGTGTTTCAGCTGGAGCGGCTAAGACGACAGCAGCACCTCCTCCTGCAGCAGAGACTGCTCCTCCTCCCCCTGCTGCTGCTCCTGCTCCTGCTGCTGCTCCTGCTGCTGGAGGGCCCATCCCCACCAGCATGCCCCCTGTACCCCCTGTGCCGGCCCAGCCCATCCAGTCCAAACCAGGTCAGGAGAGTCCCCCGTTTACAGGATGAAATCTCATCATAGATGCTGTACATTCAGTAGAGGCTGAGATTGGTGTATTGTGATATGTGACCCTGGAGCACAAAACATGTCATAAGGGTCCATTTTTGGAAATTGAGATGTATACATCATCTGAAAGCTGAATAAATAATCTTTCCATTGATGTATGGTTTGTTAGGATAGGACAATATTTGAAAATCTGGAATCTGAGGGTGCAAAAAAAATCTAAATATTGAGAAAATCATCTTTAAAGTTGTCCAAATGAAGTTCTTAGCAATGCATATTACTAATCAAACATTAAGTTTTAATATATTTACAGTAGTAAATGTACTAAATATCTTCATGGAACATGATCTTTACTTAATATCCTAATGATTTTTGGCATAAAAGAGAAATGTATAATTGTGACCCATACAATGTATTGTTGGCTATTGCTACAAATAT